AAAAAAAAAAAAAAAAAGAAAAATATTCATATAGCGAAAGCAAATAGAAATAGCTGCCAATTGGGCTGGGTGCAGTGGCTAATACCTGTAATCCCAGCACTTTGGAAGGCCGATGCAGGTGGATCACCAGGTGGATCACCAGGTCAGGTTGATCATGGTGCAACCCATCTCTGCTCAAATACAAAAAATTAGCTGGGTGTGGTGGCACTGCCTGTAGTCCCAGCTACTTGGGAGGATGAGGCAGGGGAATAGCTTGAACCCCGGGAGGCAGAGATTGCAGTAAGCCGATATCGCGCCATTACATTCCACCCTGGCGACAGAGCAACACAACTACTCTGTCTCAAAAAAAAAAAAGAAAGAAAGAAAGAAAGAAATAGCTGCCAATTGAAGATGAGACTGTTAAAACAAATCCACAGCAGCCTAACACTCCAAAAGTAAGTTAGAAGTAGAAGATGAAGAAATAACTTCCAGGCCTGGCATGGTGGCTCATGCCTATAATCCCAGTACTCTGGGAGGCCAAGGTGGGCAGATCACCTAAGGTCCAGAGTTCAAGACTAGCCTAGTCAACATGGTGAAACCCTGTTTACTAAAAATACAAAAATTCGCCGGGCATGGTGATGGGCACCTATAATCTCAGCTATTTTGGAAGCTGAGGCAGGAGAATCACTTGAACCCAGGAGGCAGCGGCTACAGCGAGCCGAGATTACACCATTGCACTCCAGCCTGGATAACAAGTGCAAGACTCCGTCTCAAAAAACAAACAAACAAACAAAGGAAAAAAAAAATAAATAACTTCCATTCTAATTTATTCCAGCCAAGAGACGATTCAAAAATTTGGTAGAATTTACTGCCTAAAATCTAAGCGGTAATACTTTCAGATAACTAGGGAACTCCGACAATTGCTGCAAATTGCAGAATACTAGAATATCCAGGAATAAAAAATATTCTTGGCTGGGTGTGGTGGCTCATGCTTGTAATCCCAGCACTTTGGGAGGTTGAAGTGGGTAGATGGCTTGAGCCCAGAAGTTTAAGAGTAGCCTGGGCAACATAGCATAGTATTTTTAGTGACTCTACTAAAAATACAAAAATTAGCTCGGTGTGGTGGCACCCACCTGTGGTCCCAGCTACTTGTGAGACTGAGGTGGGAGAATCACCTGAGCCCACAGAAGTTGAGGCTACTGTGAGCCCAAGATCATGCCACGTATTCCAGCCTGAGGAACAGAGTGAGACCCTTCCTCAAAAACAAACAAAGAAAATAAAACCTTTCCATTTCCCACAGGGAATTTTAATTAATGTCTTACCTCTCTTCAGAGTTATACAGCCGAGCAAGTCCAAAATCTGCTAATTTGATTTGCCCGCTGTAAAACAAAAAACAATTATTTTCATAAGCAATAGCAGCGGCTTCCAAAATACATCTAAAAGTCATCTGCCAAGTTAGGAGCTAAAGGAATTACAAAAATAAATTTTAAGTTCTGCTCTCTTCATTCCACTCTTTTTTCTTTCTTTTTAAAAAAATTTCATACAATACCCAGTTCAAGATTACTTCTATCCTTAATGCTCAATCCTCCTAATTAAGCCTTTTTTGACAACTTCAGTTATAATGCCTTAGACTTTAAAAAAAAACTATTATTGTATTTTCTGAATTTGACTCCTTAGCTAAATATTTCTTTTATTTCATGGTAAACAACAGTCCCTACAACCTGCTAGATAAAATATTTATTGTAGGGAAAAAAAGAAATGAGCTGTTCTAGATTGAGAAAGAAAAATTTAAGAGGCCAAACAGGCTGGGCATGGTGGCTTACACCTGTAATCCCAGAACTTTGGGAGGCCACTGCACTCCAGCCTCAGCAACAGAGCAAGACCCAATCTCTGAAAAAAAACAGCAAAAACAAATCCAGTTTCCTGGGCCCCAATTTTAGAGATGCTGACTCAACAGGACATGGCTCATGAATCTTCATTTCCAACAAGCCCACATGTGATGTCAATGCAGCTGGTCTGAAAATCATACTTTGAGAATCACTTCAAGGAGATCCCAATCATGTTTCACTCTGCTCAGTAATTTTTTTTTTTTTTTTTAAGTCAGTCTCCCTCTGTTACCCAGACTGGAGTGCAGTAGTGCAATCCTGGCTCACTGCAGCCTTGATGATCTCCTGGGTTCAGGCAATTCTCCAGTTTCAGCCTCCCGAGTAGCTGGGACTACAGGCATATATCATTATGCCCAGTTATTTTTTTATTTTTTATTTTTTGTAGAGACAGGGTTCCCCTATGTTGCCTAGGCTGGTCTCAAATTCCTGTGCTTAAGTGATCCTCCCTCCTCATCCTCCCAAAGGGCTGGGAGTACAGGTGTGGGCCACCATGACTGGCCTTGGCTCAGTAGTCTATCCTTGACAGTGATATGAAGAAAAAAATTTTTTTTAAGTTCCAGGGTACATGTGCAGGTTTGTTACATAGGTAAACTTGTGCCATCCAGAAAAAAAAAACAAAAAACTTATGCCATGGTGGTTTGCTGCACCTGTCGAACCATCACCTAACTATTAGGCATTAGCTATTTTTCCTGATGCTCTCCCTCCTCCTGCATGAAAGAATATTTTTAAAAACTACAACACAAAATGTTGGGAATCTATTTAAAAACTTTTTATTTATTGGAGAGGGTGCGTAACACACACACAAAAAACCCAACAACTATTTATTAATTAGTTTGATTTAATGACACTTATCTAAATTCATGGAACCTCTTTAGTCATATTTACAGCCTTGCTACCTCTTGGGGCATGAAAAGCCAGCTCACTCTCTTACAGGGGGCTAGTAGAGGTGTCTAATAGCTCTGATTAGGCAAAAAAGTGAAATACAGATTACACATCCAAATCCAAAAATCTGAAATCCAAAATTTTTCAGAACCTTTTTTTTCCCCATCTGTCTGAAGCAAAATCTGAAACTTTTTGAGTGCCAACATGACACTCAAAGGAAATGCTCATTGGAACATTTCAGATTTTGTATGTTCAGAACCAGTAAACTTAATATAAACATCCCAAAATCTGAAAAAATCTGAAATCCAAAAGAATTCTGATCTCAAATACACGGGATACTAAATATGTAGTACAGAAAAGAGGCCAAGAGGTGCTCCCCAAAATATGAACGTGGGGCAATATTAAAACAAGGTAACTACTAGCAACAAAATTCTACATTAAATCAACACTTATTCCTAGTAAAGAAAAAGGTACCTTATCCACTTGCCCCAAACACCCAAATTCTGAGAAAAGCAAAAAGTAAAGAAATAGTTAACTTATATTGAGACCAAGAGGATTCCTCAAATTACTTGGCATCCTTATTCTGAAAGCCTAAGGTGATCCAAGACTCAAGGTACATAGTAGGACTGAAAGTTAAAATGGCAACAGATATATAATTACAGAAATCAGGGTAAACCTGAATATCAGCAGCACCTAACATATTTCCTGCCTGGCTCATACTAGGTACTAAATAAATGTTTATTAAGTGAATTTAGTCCGCTTTAGAACATCCTGATACCACTTTTATTGACTCCTTTTCTTCGTTCCAACTAAACCATAATGGTGATTCAGTATGACGTATGAAAGTATTGGTAAGTTTTTGCAATATAAAATAGAATGAGCCGAGTGCAGTGCCTCACGCCTGTAGTCTCAACATTTTGGGAGACCAAGGCAGGTGATCACTTAAGAGTTCGAGACCAACTTGGCTAATGTGGTGAAACCCCATCTTTACTAAAAATACAAAAAATAGCAGGGCATGGTGGTAGACACCTGTAGTCCTAGCCACTCGGGAGGCTGAGGCAGAAGAACTGCTTAAATTCAAGAGGCAGAAGTTACAGTGAGCCAAGATCACGCCACTGCACTCCAGCCTGGGTGACAGAGCAAGACTCTGTCTCAAAAAAATAAAATAATTGGCTGGGTGCGGTGGCTCACGCCTGTAATCCAGGCACTTTGGGAGGCCGGGACGGGTGGATCACGAGGTAAAGAGATCGAGACCATCCTGGTCAACATGGTGAAACCCCGTCTCTACTAAAAATGCAAAAATTAGCTGGGCATGGTGGCGCACGCCTGTAGTCCCAGCTACTCAGGAGGCTGAGGCAGGAGAATTGCTTGAACCCAGGAGACGGAGGTTGCGGTGAGCCAAGATCGCGCCATTGTACTCCAGCCTGGGTAACAAGGGCGAAACTCTGTCTCAAAAAAAATAAAATAAAATAAAATAATAAATAAAATAGAAGTGCCATTATATTGTTTATGTCCTGTCTCAAAGGAATAAGATGAATATAGAAATATGTGGTCTTTTTGAGACCATGGTTTAACATTTTTGCCTTTTGACAAGACCTTCAAGTACAGTGCCTCCATTCCCTCCCAGTTCAGCCCTTTCTCACACTGTACTTCCTTTCCTTGCTTGCCTGGATCCCTTAGTTAATTAACCAAACTACTGTCTTCCCAGTTCCCTTCACTTGTGATAAAGCTAATCCCTAAGTCCCTAATTCTGGATCATTAGAGAATCTGCCTTTTCTGCTCTACCTTCTACCTAAAGAGCTGAACACAAGTGTAAGGAATAAAAATCATAATTGGCCGGGCATGGTGGCTCACGCCTGTAATCCCAGCACTTTGGGAGGCCGAGGCGGGTGGATCACAAGGTCAAGAGATCAAGACCATCTTGGTCAACATGGTGAAGCCCCGTCTCTACTAAAAATACAAAAAATTAGCTGGGCATGGTGGCGCGTGCCTGTAATCCCAGCTACTCAGGACGCTGAGGCAGGAGAATTGCCTGAACCCAGGAGGCGGAGGTTGCAGTGAGCCGAGACCGCGTCATTGCACTCCAGCCTGGGTAACAAGAGCGAAACTCCGTCTCAAAAAAAAAAACAAAAAAAAAAATCATATAATTGGCCAGATGTAGTGGCTCACAAGTGTATTCCCAGCACCGTGGGAGGCTGAGGTGGGCAGATCACTTGAGATCAGAGGTTGGAGACCCAGCCTGGCCAACATGGTGAAACTCTGTCTCTACTAAAAATACGAAAATTAGATGGGCGTGGTGGCACGCACCTATAGTCCCAGCTACTTGGGAGGCTGAGACAGACTAACTGCTTGAACCTGGGAGGTAGAGATTGTAGTCAGTTGAAATCTCACCACTGCACTCCAGCCTGAGAGACAGAATGAGACTCAATCTCAAAAAACAAAGACAAACAAAAAACAAAACAAAACCGCCTGGGCACAGTGTCTCACACCTTTAATCCCAGCACTTTGGGAAGCTGAGGAGAGCAGATCACAAGATCAGGAGTTTGAAACTAGCCTGGCCAACATGGTGAAGCCCTGTCTCTACTACAAACACAAAAACTAGCCAGGCGTGGTGGGGATGCCTGTAATCCCAGCTACTCGGGAGGCTGAGGCAGGAGAGTCACTTGAACCTGGGAGGTGGAGGTTGCAGTGAGCTGAGACCGCACCGCTGCACTTCAGCCTAGGTGACAGAGCAAAATTCCATCTAAACACACACACACATACACACACACACGAATCATATTGTTTGGTGCCACTGCAAAATGTGTGATTTCCTCTCTTTGTTAATTCCTGAATGCTGCTGCTTTGTCCTTTTACTTGTCTATAATCAGCAACTTCTATTCACCATGACTATCATTACAGACCTCTGGAATTCTCCTTAATGCTCTAATTCATGCTCTACCCACTTATGTTTACTTCATAAATGACCTTTTTCAGTGAAAAAAATTAAAGTCATTAGGTGACAAGTCCTTAACATTCTACCTTTTACCAATACATTTAATTGCATCTATAATCTTACTTTCCTCTTTCCTTTCAATTACAGTCACCCCTCAGTATATGTAGGGAATTGATTCCAAGACTCCCACATACACCAAAATTCAAGCAAACTCAAGTCCTGCAGTAGGCTCTACAGAACGTGTATATATAAAACACTGGTACTCCATATATACACTGCAAAAGCTGTTTTGTTGCCGGGCGCGGTGGCTCACGCCTGTAATCCCAGCACTTTGGGAGGCCGAGGCGGGTGGATCACGAGGTCAAGAGATCGAGACCATCCTGGTCAACATGGTGAAACCCCGTCTCTACTAA